TAATGTTGAAAATTCATGTCGTGTGCGAGTCCGCTAAATCGAAAATTGATGTGGAGCGAATCCTGCTATATATCTACAAATAGTAGATGTAAGCCGATATTTATAAGTAATGTCTTGAGATATTAATAATGGCTTTTTTATTCTTATTAATGAATATCCGCGTGTACACACACGGACACAAATTTTTAAATAAATATATATATATACATAAAGTTATAAATAAATTTTAAATTATGTATTTTTCTTTTACTACAGTTTGACTTACCTTAGTATTGATTATAACATTGACATTGATACGTATAGTTTGTAGTCGCATGCACCAGACAGTATAATCTCGTATACGGACTTACAATTACAGTACATCGATATTTAAAATTAGAACACAAGTATCTAAACCCTTTTGTTTAAATATAAAACAGAAGGTGGGAAAATATACAATAATAGTGATAAGTATAATATATATGTATATGTATTATATTCTAATATAAATGCTGCGTAAAATATCCTAAAATTCTAAATACATATGTAATGTTAGGCTATATTTTAAATTATTTTATCAATCCTGTCAAAATACTGATTTCAGATTTGTAATTTGTTATTAATATTAATATTATTATGCATTTAGGAAATTTTAAATTCTCGATATATGTATAGAATTGTTAATTAAATAAAAAAATGTAAAAAAATGTTAATATATATGTAAAGTTATTAAAACTTTTAGCACATATAAAATATAGCCTTTTAAAATTTTCCGCTTTTCTTTATCACAAAAATTATATCGCAACATATTAAAGTCCTATGTACTGCACTCTTATAAACTATTCACGACATTGCCGGGGAAGTGATGAACGACGCAGTTTCATATCTTTTACATTATATCATAACAAACAATCGCAAACGCGATGTAGTAGCAAAATAATAATTACACGATATTAAATATACAATCCGATCTTACCGTTTTTCTATCATAATGAGAATCAACATATGCACGAATTGTACCTGCGCTTTACAGCTTCTAAGTCCCGATGTAAATGACGTCGATCATAATCCCAGATTACGATTGATGTTGACGTTATTTACGCCGTGCGAGTGCTCGGAATATTATTATACCTGCATTGTCTGGAATAATGTGTAATTGTATTACGAGAGTTTTACTTTGCGTATATACCTCCTCGGTATAACATTTTCTTTAATTTCGTATAATCGGTTACGTGCACGATTTACGATTATTAAAGTGAGTAAACTATTCACACTGTTATTCAAAATTGTAATTGTTGTAAATCTTTGATTTATTATAGTTTATCTTTTTACGATTGCTTTTAAAATTTTACAAAATTCAGATTATTAATATAGTTGTTTGATAATTGTTTGGCGTTGAAAAATATTTTAAGGATATTAACTATAAATATTCTTTATTAAACTTACATAACGCATTTATAACTGTACTTATATATTTCTTGATGTTGCATCTTGGTTCTTATTTTTAAAATAAATACCAATTTGTGTGATGGCTAAGTGATCAAGAAATGTGAGTAGAAAAATATGTTATTGTAAATATTATTTTTAAACTTGAATTGATTAAAAACTATAATTTGACAAAATATATATATATTTTTGATATACTAAAAGGTAACTGATGTTTTTACTTCAATATTTTTATACATTATGTTTATACAGCACATGATAGTTAAATACTTCAAAAGATTTTAAGGAGTGCAGAGATCTTTCAGATTAATTCAAATTTTTATGATTAATGAGAACTTCATGTCGTTAATTCAAAACAACATAGTTTCAAAGATACAAAATTGACGGAAAAATTATATTTTTTTCTAAAAGTTTCAAAGATGACTAAGCTATTTTGTTAAATATACATAATTAAGTTCTATCGAAATAATTCTGATAATTTTCGAAGTTTATGAAAAAAAACTTATCTAAAAAGAATTTTCTTTCAATTTTGACACCTTATATCTTCAAAATTATAAATAAAAATCGGAGCGTAAATAAAATGTAAAGAAAGAGTAACAGAAGCGTAAACGAAACTTCTAGCAGACAAATTGGAACAACGAAACGTAAAAGAAGCAGTTACTATTTACTCCTAGAAGTTCCGTTTACGATTCTGTTACTTTTTCTTTACATTCAACTTATGCTCCAATTTCTATATATTTAAAAAATTACTTCTTAAATCTAGATTTAACTACCACCTTGTATAGAATAGAAAAAAAGTTTTTAAATAATTCTTATTGCATTTTTATTATATATTTTTGTTACGATTACTTTTTTAAATGTATTACAAATAATCTTTAAATTTCAAGACCAATTTGCACAAACTTGCATACGTATAATAATATAAATAATACATAATATCTTAAATAATTATTTATTCCAGGCTGGAATTAACTTTATTAAAGCTGCGTTATATATTTAAAAAAACATTATATATATAGATGATGTGGCCAGAAAGAAATAAAGTTAAATTTAAAATAAAAAACAATAATTTTATGAGGCAAACATGGATGACAAAAGATTCGGAGAAATCACCGCGTTTGAAGACTATATTAAATTATTTAAAATTGTATTGTAAACATTCCAGTATAAATAGTTTAAAATATCTTGTCGATTCTCAAAAATCTTGGTTTGAGAGGTAAATTCAATTAAGATCATATTTATTTATAGTATAATTAGTGTGCACTAATGGATAGAATTATTTCTGTAGTATTATTCTGTAGTAATGGTAGAAATTTCTGTAGTCATGCAAAATTTTGCAAAATGCAAAAATTTATTTTAATTATTAAATAGATATATGTATGTGACGTTAATAGTGTGATATAAATTCGGTAATGAACATTGTGATACAAACAAAAACAAATTATTGCTTATTGTCGCTTGGCTTACAACAGTAAGCCAAGCGACAACAATAAAGATGTAAAACAAAAGTAAATCTTTACTTTTGTTTTACATCTTTATTGTTGTCTTTGAACTTCTAAAAATATAAATAAAATAAGTAAATAAAATAAATGAATAAAGTATAACTTTAACTAAATAGTGCCATTTTTACATATATTGTTAATTAAATATATCTTTCAGAATTATGTGGATTATTATACATTGCATAATTATATCTTTTCTGGTGAATATGGTTTATGCTTCCTATCAAGAATTTATGTCAACACCTTTAGTAATTTCCATGGATGCATATGATTTTAAAACGTCTCAGTTATTCTTTCCAGGTATAAATATTAAGATATTTTATTAATTTGTATTTGTGTGTATATGCAATTTATTTATAAAGATTTATTTAATAGTTGATATTATAGTATATTAATAAATATAGTTCTTTGTTAGAAAATATAATCTATACTCCAAATTAAAAATCTTCATATACGTTTCGGCTCTGTTTCGAACCATCTTCAGTACGTTAAATAAAAGTTTTTCTACATCTTCGGCTGTGTTCACAACCTCGCTTTAAGAGGTTGTGGACCCAGTCTTCATGGTGAAAACAAAAAAGTAACAATCCATTTATATTTTATTTTGTGTGATTTTGTCTTATATATAATAAAGTGAATATAATATCATAACAAAGTATCCATATTAAGCAAATTATATTTATCTCATATCTGTTTTTGATCAAGAAGTTCAATATATTTTTATGCACTTGACGTATGTTTTTTCTTTTTTTAAAAAAAGGTTTTTTAAGATCCATATTAAGCAAATTTACTTTAAATGCATAAAGAAAAAGGTTTACCAAATAAATATTTTGTTCAATAAGTGTAAAGAAATTTTGTGCTTTAAAATGATTTCCTCTTTTCTTATTTTATAGTAAGTTTCTATTTTCTCTTTTTTCTCCCTATTTTATTGCATTGATAAAAAATATATACTTCGATAATTTTCAGCAATCGCCATCTGCTCCATTAACAGGATTAGTTTACGATCCGCGAAAGAACTGGCAACTAATATGTGAGCTGGATTTGTATATTAAATAAACGCAAATTAGATTTTGTATATTAAACACATGCATTTTTGTGTGCACAAACACAACAGAATACTATACTACGAAATATTATTAAAAAACAACATTGTTACGGGAGATCACGTCTCAGTTATACATATATATATGCTTTATTAGCAAACGCATATTTAAATATATGATACTATACTACAATTATTACATGAAAATTAATAATAATTAAATTAAATTGAATAAGTAACATTGTTTATGATTAAATATATGGAATTGCATAATGCATTAATATTATACACTTATACATATAGTAGACATAAATAGATTATTATGTACAGTAGAGACTTAAAAAATGCTCGATTTTTGAAGTTTTTTCATCATATTAATATATCATATATTCTTATATTATATATATAATTATACTTTTTAGTAAAGATATTGATGTTGTTTTTAGATTTTATTGTTATTCACAAAAATACAATTTACTTTAATTAGTTAAAAGATAAAAAAGGTAAAAGACGCTAAAAGAAATAATTATATTATAAGAACCGTTTTTTCAAAAATCATATGCTTTAATAATTTTCTTTTTGTTTACAACTCCAAAAAATTAAATCAATAAAAGAAAGGGATTATAGTATAAAAAAGATATATTATTAATATTTGCTAGTCGGACTTTGCGAGTTGTGACAGCATTATATATCTGTGCGGCATATCGTCAATCAATTTCACACAGAGGGTGAAATTAGTTAATTATCAATTTTGAAAATGTGTAATTACTTTTCTCATTGCAGACATCAACTTGTTCAATTTTATATTATGAATATTGTTTTAAAATATTTTCAGTATAGGTACAATATATTATATAAAAATATACGTAAAACATGTTATGCTATTGAGCAAAGTGGACAACAATTACATGGTCAAAAAAAGTCGCGCATTTTTTATCCTCGTTACTGTATATTAAAGATATCCTTGAAACATATGTAACATATATGGGATGACTTTACAATTGAAATATTTACGATACTTTTCTTAAAACCAGTTCTAACGCAAAGATTACGGACAAGTCAGTCGATGAAATTCTCGATTTGATAACGCAGCTGGGCAATCTCTACATGTCTATAATTGTCACAGATAATAGTCATGATGTGGAATTAGATAAACTTTTAACAACTTACTACAACGGATCTTACGATGTCGCTGAAATTATGAAAAATGTACGTATGCAAACTCAATCACATCTTATTTTAAATATGTGATATACTATAGAGTTTTATTCACAAAAACATTTTATTATTTTATTATTTTCTTGTTTTTAATTTTTATATATATGCGTAAAATTGTTTTAATTATAATAATAATTAAGTAATTGATGATACAAATTGCTTAATTTTTATTGTTTAGTATAATAATAGAAGTTAAATTCAAATTATTATGTAACATCATTATGTGATATTAATTTTAAATGCAAGTTTCTTTGAAAAGCATGATCCCATTAGCTACTACTATGCCAATCTTTTTCAGATACTGTCTGCCTAAATTTACCGATTCTAACTTTCAATTTTCTAGTGATTCTAACAAATAGAGGCTATTTGTACAGACAAGCATATTACTTTATTTTTCTGCGATGTCGGTGTTTTAAATAAAAGATTTCCTCCGAAGAGCAATCAAAATATTATTTACACAATACTTTTCGCGTATTCAATAATCACTGTTATTATTGCTTAGAAAATTATCGGAAATTTACAACACATTGTGTATTTGCATTTTCCAGCTGACGCCACAATGTTCAGTGATATTATTGAAATGTATGCTACATGGTGCTGCAAGAAATTGTTCGGAGCTTTTTGAATTTCGCAAGACACAGGACGGATACTGTTGCACCTTCAATTACGTGCGTGAAAGCGACGACATTCTTGAGTGAGTATATTAATTATTTTTACTTATAGAATATATGCTGATAAAGTTTTGCCAAAAAATAACTAGCTAATGCTAAATTATAACATATAGACATATGTTAAATATAAGCATTACAGTTGTTTAAAAAATTAATGGCAGTGATTATACCTTAACAGACTGAACCATATGATTAATCCGAGAGACCAGGAACAAGTAAAGACTCTCGGAATAAGAAACGGTCTAACCATCGTAATGGATCCACTTTTGGATGATTATTTCTATTCAATATTGCCTGTTAAGGGTTGGAAAGTAAGTGGAAACAACATTATATGCTATTTTAATTAATTAAGAGAAAGCAAAAAATGGTGGTCTTTAATTATATCTCACATTTTTTAGAACAACTTACATTTCGGAGCAGTAATTTATATAATTTATAAATCTGCCATTAAAAAAAAGTTATTTATCGTTTATGCCAAATTAAATTCTGAAAAATACTTCTTTTTTTTAATTAATAAAAAACCATATTTAACTTACTAGATTCTGAAAAATTTGATGTAGGATATATATAGAGAGAGTTTCTAAAATGTGTCTTGCTTGACTTGTCAGCGTGTCTTGATTATTAAAATATAATAGAAAAAGAAATTATATATAATAAATAGGATTTCATGGAAATAAATAACAATCTCAATTAAATCAAAGGAAGGAGAAAATAATAATTTAATTCTCTGAGGTTTTGTTGTTACATCAAGAGCAATTAAAGTAAACAGAAAATAGAAGTAACTATAATTTCGTAACTGTCGTTACTTACAAGTAAACCTATCCAAATATTCCACCCCTTAAAAGTGCGTATTGTCCCGTATAAAAAAATACGTGTCGCTTATTTTTATCTGGAGAACAACATACTAAAAATTTATCAAAATCGGAGTGTAACACTTAGGTAGGTTTATTTGTTAGTTACTTAGAGATTTATTTTATAACTTTTAATGACTGTAGCATAATATAACTACATCTTGATAGTTCTTTAGTTGTCTTATTGTAATAACGATTTATGGTATTAATGTTGTGAATTTTTATGGTAATAATGTAATAGTTACTTATAACAGATTCAAAGTCATTTTTATTACTAAATAAATAACTCACAATTTGTAATTCGTTACCTTTATGTATTTCTTGTTTAAGATCGAATTATAATATGTTCAATTTTTGTTAAGAATAATTTGAAGTATAATGTAAATCGAAATACGTATGGATGTATATTAAAATATGTATATTAAAATATTGTTTTCTCAGAAATGGACTTTTCAATCTTTTATCATATTTTTTGCACGAAATACCACGGTTGAGACTCTTATTTTCCAATATATTTTTATTTGTAATTTAATTAAATCTATAGAAGTGGAGAAAAAGGGTGGGAGGGAGGGGAGGAGAAAGAGTGAGAGGGAGAAAGAAATTTAGTAAAACTAACATTTATTGAGTTTTTAGGTGACTGTGTTTAATCCTACCGATTATCCAGATATGACCAGTGGTGGTGTCACGGAGGTAATCGCAATGCCTCAGTATGAGACATATCTAGATGTGAAAGCAACGCTCTTTAACAGTTCACAGACTGTTATACATTTACCCAGAGATAAACGTGACTGCATTTTTGCAGATGAAATAGTTTTTTCAAATATTACGATATATACTTACAGTGATTGTATCGTCAATTGTAAGATTAATGACATACAGGAGTTCTGTGGATGCAGACCGTTCATTTATCCACGTCGTGGCAAGAAAGAACGTAAAAGCACTATAATTTTTTTAACTATTCGTGCTTCCGAATGAGCTTGACATTGACCTTGACCCTCAAATGTTTTGATTTTTTCGCTGATTGTTTATTAAAAATTATTAATAAAACAATTTTTGTTTAAATAGAATATAATCTTTAAATACAAAGTATATATTTCAAATATGGAATGAACCTCGTTTTATGTTATATTTCAAAATATTGAGCGATTATGATGTAAGATTACAACGTGTGCTGTTTTAGCCTGTTTTGGCGTAAAAAATCATTACGAGAATTATCTGATGAGAATTTATGTTTAAGAAATGGTGTGATTTTAAAGAAAGAATTAATATCTTAATTTTCTTTTAAAAAATGTTAGCAACATGTTACTTATACTTATGTGTCGAATATGACGTGTTTTTTTTAAATGTTATTATTTTGAGTTATAATTCTAACATGTACATATATATAAATACCGAATTACCAGAAACCTCCTTAAAAGTCAAGGTTATAACATCAAGTAAGTTATTCGGAAGTCATTAATATTTCACAAATATTCTTTATATTATTATTATATTTTATATATAATATATGAATATACATGTATACTTTGTTATTTTTCAGATTCGTGGCGTATTTGCAATATCACGGACTTTCAATGTCTAGCTAAGTACAAATGTAAACATTTTATTACATTATTAATATAAAAATAGTTGCTTTTTTACACAAGCAATTAAAAACCTTTATACGTATTACTTATAACGTATTACATAAATAAATTAATAATTATAATTATACCATTTATTTAATATATTGATATTTTATTTTCTGGAATAGCTAAACGGTTAATAATTTTCCCTCACGATGATGAACACAGCATTTTGCACGACGAAAAAGATGCTTTATATTGTTTCAAGTGTTATCCTGCCTGCCACGACACTCATTATGATGTAACAAGTTGGAGAAATTTTATAGAACACGGTATATTTGAAGCTTACATATTGTAAGTGTGTGATATTTTTATATATCAGTGTAAAAAATAAAATTCTTCCTGAAATTCCTAAAAGAGGCGTAAAGAGTGAGAGGGAGAAAGAAATTTAGTAAAACTAACATTTATTGAGTTTTTAGGTGACTGTGTTTAATCCTACCGATTATCCAGATATGACCAGTGGTGGTGTCACGGAGGTAATCGCAATGCCTCAGTATGAGACATATCTAGATGTGAAAGCAACGCTCTTTAACAGTTCACAGACTGTTATACATTTACCCAGAGATAAACGTGACTGCATTTTTGCAGATGAAATAGTTTTTTCAAATATTACGATATATACTTACAGTGATTGTATCGTCAATTGTAAGATTAATGACATACAGGAGTTCTGTGGATGCAGACCGTTCATTTATCCACGTCGTGGCAAGAAAGAACGTAAAAGCACTATAATTTTTTTAACTATTCGTGCTTCCGAATGAGCTTGACATTGACCTTGACCCTCAAATGTTTTGATTTTTTCGCTGATTGTTTATTAAAAATTATTAATAAAACAATTTTTGTTTAAATAGAATATAATCTTTAAATACAAAGTATATATTTCAAATATGGAATGAACCTCGTTTTATGTTATATTTCAAAATATTGAGCGATTATGATGTAAGATTACAACGTGTGCTGTTTTAGCCTGTTTTGGCGTAAAAAATCATTACGAGAATTATCTGATGAGAATTTATGTTTAAGAAATGGTGTGATTTTAAAGAAAGAATTAATATCTTAATTTTCTTTTAAAAAATGTTAGCAACATGTTACTTATACTTATGTGTCGAATATGACGTGTTTTTTTTAAATGTTATTATTTTGAGTTATAATTCTAACATGTACATATATATAAATACCGAATTACCAGAAACCTCCTTAAAAGTCAAGGTTATAACATCAAGTAAGTTATTCGGAAGTCATTAATATTTCACAAATATTCTTTATATTATTATTATATTTTATATATAATATATGAATATACATGTATACTTTGTTATTTTTCAGATTCGTGGCGTATTTGCAATATCACGGACTTTCAATGTCTAGCTAAGTACAAATGTAAACATTTTATTACATTATTAATATAAAAATAGTTGCTTTTTTACACAAGCAATTAAAAACCTTTATACGTATTACTTATAACGTATTACATAAATAAATTAATAATTATAATTATACCATTTATTTAATATATTGATATTTTATTTTCTGGAATAGCTAAACGGTTAATAATTTTCCCTCACGATGATGAACACAGCATTTTGCACGACGAAAAAGATGCTTTATATTGTTTCAAGTGTTATCCTGCCTGCCACGACACTCATTATGATGTAACAAGTTGGAGAAATTTTATAGAACACGGTATATTTGAAGCTTACATATTGTAAGTGTGTGATATTTTTATATATCAGTGTAAAAAATAAAATTCTTCCTGAAATTCCTAAAAGAGGCGGCGACATACTTTTGTTACTTACTTTCAGTGCGAATTACAATATTACTGATGAAGGAGTGCTGCATGTGTACTTTTCGAAATACGGCACAATCAGATTAAAACAAGATGTGGCTTCTTACTGGTATAATCTCTTAAGTAAGTACAGATTATTAAGAAATTATATATTTATAAATGAGAGTTAAAATTTAAATTTTTACAATTCAAACTTTTATATGTTTTTATTAGATTAAAAACTTTTAAGAAAAGCTTATGAAGTAAATACATCTATTTTGAATAGGAAAAGTTTTCGACTTTTATACAAAAAATTTTTTTACAAACTAAGAAAAAAGATAGCAATATATATATATATATATATGATCTCTAAAGCATTAATTAAAGGTTAAAACAAAAGCTCGTATGTGTATCGAAAGGAAAAAGTTGGCAGTGATATTACTGAAAAAAGTTCGTTATCTCTTTTACAACGTAAATGGTCACTACATGCTCATAATGCTTTTTAAAAAGAAACATTGAAAACATGCGGCCGTTTTATCAAATCATCTTATCCTCCCTTGCTAAACATCACATCACAAAAATTGTCATTTTGCAGGTGATATCGGCGGTATATGTGGCGTCTTCATCGGCTTTAGTTTCATCACTATAGTGGAGCTTCTGTACTTTTGTGTGCTCGTATTTTGCGATATTCTCTGTAAAAGATCGATTTTTCAGAAAGATGATCGCAAGACTGAAATCCCATCATTAAACCAAACTCGAACAACAGAAGAAATATATTGGAACGAACTGCTTCCACGATCTTGGCATTCAGCAAAACGTGACAAATTCTTTATTTATAAAAGAGCTAGATATTAACTGACGGAGTTATTATAAAATTAAACAACATAAAAATAATGAGCATACAGTCACAAACGCAGGATGTTATTTGCATCTATCGATTCCAGCCGTCGTCGCATTGAAATTTATAGCTATATATTTTTATTATGAAATTATTTAAGAAAATTTTCGATTGGAATAATTGCATTTTTATCAGTTAATATTTGAAATTATTAAAACTATCTGATATTTTACAAGTGGAAGATTAGTTCAAATCAAAACCTTAGGCAAACATTATTAAAGAAGACTATCACTATATGTTTATTTTAATAATAAAACATAGTAATATATATATATATATATAATAAACTTTTTAACATAGTAATAATAAACTTTTAAAAGAAAGTTATTATTATTCAAAAACGGAATCATAATGTACAGCT